ATGTTCAGTTCCTCTGACAGAATTCGTTGACATGTACCATAACTTAGTCCCAAGGTGTTACAGAGGTCTTGGATGGTCAGTCTACGATCTTGCAGAATCAGATCCCTAACTTTTGCAACATTTTCTGGTGTTTTGGCCGTTGACGGCCGTCCCGAACGATCGTCATCATCAGTCAATGTTTGGCCATTTTTAAAACACTTATACCAGTTGTAAGTTTGTGTCTGGCCTAAACTGTTTTCACCAAAAGCTTGCTTCAACATTTGATGCGTTTCTGCAGCGGTTTTCCCAAGTTTGAAACAAAACTTTATACAGACACGCTGCTCTCTCAGGTCAGCCATCGCAAAACCGCAAACTCACGGAAACACAACAATTGAAATACGTTCACCAACAATAAACCCAACCACTCAACTCGACGCCGCTTGCCACACTGATTCAAGAAGGATGTGTGAGGAGGCACCTAGCAGTATTTCGATGTACTCATAACCATTCGCGTGCAAAATTCAAATTTCGGAAACTTTTGGATTGCCCCACGTACATAAACTAAAAGTAAAATGATCAAGGTCTTATGAGATATAGCAATATGTCTGATCCAATTGTGTGGATGGACTGAATATGAATTTCATTCTTTTGATACATTTTTGTGTGTAATTGTTTACTTATTAATCATCATCTTCATGACTTTTTTATGGTAAAGTAACAATTATACTGACTCTAATTACTTTCTTAGGTTACTAAAATCATGAAATAAGGAGTACTAAATATAATCTTGTTCGCTGGGGTATGTATTGCTGAATAACATGTACACTGAAGGGCATTTATCTGCTACTGATCAGTTGGTACTTGGCATGGTTCTGTTGTAAATATTCAGTAACTGTGTTGTAACTCTTCCTATTAGCTCTCAATTTGAAATTAATCCTACCAAATAATGGGTAAAGTGAAAGTTGAAATGTTACAAGTTCTGTTGGCTGTGGGTATGTTTTGCAAGGTTAAGGATTATGTGTTCACTTGTGCATGTTGTGCCTGTAGCTGATACAAAGATTCAATCTTCCTCTTCCTTGAGTTATATTGAAATTTATTATATGACATACTTAGCACAGATGTGTTTAAGGTCCTGCAGAAAGTGAAAAATTTAAATGTTTTGAACTTTGCATCAGTTATGGCTCATGTGCTGTAACACTTTTTGTCAAAATGTCCTTGCAGCTTTTATTGTAATTGGCACTGTTAATTAGGTGACAGTTTTGATACTAGGTTGACAATTTGCGACAGCAAGCAGAAGAGCAGGAGCAGTCTCTTAAATCTCAAGAAGATGAATTGAGTTCAAAGAAACAAGAACTGGAAGGTTTGAAACAAGAAGAAGCAAAGCTTGAACATCAGCAGAAGGACTCACGGGAGCAGCTAGACAACCTTACTAAGAACCTGCAAGATACCCAACTACAAATCAGCCAGGTAATTTGGAAACAAATGCACTGCTTAGAAAATATGGTTTTGAAGTAATTATGCCTGTCACATGCATTCTGTTGTTTACAAAGTTATTATGTTCATGTTGATATTATTTACAAGTTATCACTAAAATATTTAATGATCAGGGAGCATGTATAATCCATCTTGCCTCTTAATAAATTTATAGCAATGTGGAGAACTCATTTTACTTCCTGAAATTCCAGAGCTAAAGAAATGATTATAGTCACGTAACACATTGAGACCCAGATACTTGGACTTCTGACTTTCATATGAACCAAACCAGTTTATTAAATAAGCAGATATTTGTTTTTTTAAGTTATAATTCAGTAAGTAATCAGTCTTGTGAATTGCCACACCTGTCACTTTACAGCAACTTATTATTTCTTATTAATACACTTTCTTATATGTAATAACGTGTCATTTATATGCTGAAACAAATGAAACTTAGCTAGCTGATTGGTGAGAGAGATGAAGCCCCCAGCTTGTGATATTGTGCTGTCTGGTCAGGGCTGCCACACACCACAAAGGGGCTTGATAGATGAATATGGAAGAGTGATGAAATGAATTAGTAACTAACTGTTAATGCATGGTGATTTGAATAAATATTGCCTAGTGATCAAACAACAAGGTGAGAAGACGTGCAGTCTAGTGCAAATCGCTGTAAAGCGCAGATGATACATGTTACTGGCACAGATGTAATGGTCAACGCTCAAATCTTTATGGAAGTTGTAATCAATAGGTAGGGGGTTCTAGAAGTTCCACCACAAATCGGATGATCCACTGGTGGATAATCAAGATAGTTGATTTACAGTAAGAATAAAGTCTATATACAAGTACATGACAATTGGGATTAAAGACAGTATATCTCTAAAGTTGAAAATCAAAGGACACAGGAATTCTGTTTTAATTTTTAAGTGTCACAATTTTCCTTATAGGGAAAGATATGTTACATAAAGGTTTGTTGGTAAGGGTCTCTTATATTTCATGTCCTTGGCAAGTTTTCTCAGAAATGATAATTATATTTATTTTCTTGACAGAAACCAAATGTGCATACCAGTAAACTGTGTAGACAGTTTGTACTGTTCCATTAGAACAAATTTTTATTTTAGGATATAACATTTTCCTTTGCTTTCAGTAAATATTATAAGTGGCTTCCAGTGGAATTGGATTAATATTTTAAGATATCAATAACCAGGAGAGCACAGTGTCACAGCCTAGGAAACACCACACACTCAATATTTATTGCCATAAGAACGACAGACCTGATGTGGATTAGTATCTGTTAAATCTGTAACTTTATTTATGTAGGCAAAAGCAAAAATTACTCATTTACAAGAACAGCACCGGCAAATGAAAGATGCAGTATCCACATATGAAGCTGCCATTTCTTCAGGTGATGCAGCCACAGTCAGTGAGGCATCTCTACATATAAAACCAGAGTTCAGGGACCCTGAGTACAGCAGGATAGCAATGGTTAATGGTGGGAGTCCTGTGGAACATGTAAGTTAAATAGAAATGCGACAGTAACACAGTTAACATTTACCCACATGCAGCAGAATGTTGCTTAAAATTTGTGTCTATTGGTTTTCATGCAATTGTTATATTTAAATGGTCCCATATTTTGAATTATCTCAAAAATAGAAACAATGAAAACATCTGTCACTGTGAGGACACACCAGTCATGTGAAAACAGGACCTGCTGAAACATTGTGTATATTTAATATACCAATATGCATCTGCAGACGCACACATAATGAAACCCTCCTTCATTGTTCCTTTAATGTGCAGTACATCTGAACCATTAACTGAGGATAATCTTAAATGGAAAAAATATTACATATTTAGCAAATTATAATATAGATGATGATGTCTAAACTAGTATCTTATCCATAAAGTATTATTCTTTATGGGGTTCGATTTGATTTGATTTGTAAGATTTGAGGCTTTCACGGCAGTGACTATGAAGAAAGCAGTCTTCTGGGATTTGGCACCATGTATATGTGGTGATTTGATTTGATTTATTATTACCTCAAGCAATCCATACAGATAAGACAGTCACCACAGATATAGAAGCAGTCCATTTATATGTATACTAAAATAAGATATAAAATGAAAAGTAAAATATAACAAATAGATGAAATATTATGATAAAAGCAGCTGTAACTCACATCTTTGTCAACATACATACATACAACAAATAAACAATTTTTGAGTCACAACAATGATGTACAGATACAAAATACGCCCATCTCATCTATAATATTAATATCGCCACATACAAATACCTGATTTATGTGGCACATTTCCAGCCAGTCTTTACCTCCCTGGGCTTTCCAGATGTCACAGTTTCAGAAAGTTAAGAGGCAATGGAAGAAAAACATTCCCTTATTTTAGCATATACAATTTTTAACTAACTAAGCATGTTTCTTGTCTGTTTCAAATTCAAGTAAAATTTAGAAAGGGAAAATTATATGGTGGGATACATTGTATGTACAAGTAGTTTTATTAAAGGAAACATGTGATTATACTGTAGCCACAGTGTTGATATAGAACATTACTTTTCTTTTCTTTTTTAAGAAATTTGATGGTTCAGCTTATTTCCAGTAAAAATGAAAACAGGCGTTTTGTTTTCAGAACAAGAGGTTCATCGGCAATGAAAAGGACCCATTTAGTGGCTTAAATGGACCAGCAGATAGTGGTGGATCTGACTTTGGTGGAGAGGATATGTTTCATAATGGTGAGGCGCTACAAATTACATTCTGCCATTGGAAATACTGATTGAACCTGTTGATGTGAATTTTATGAGTTCCATAGTTCCTTGCCTAGGCTTATGATTAATGATGTTTTGTACTTTGTTTCAGATCCATTTAAGAGTACAAAAACAAGTTCCCCTGCTGCTGACCCATTTAGCTCAAATGACCCATTTAGTGCTGCCTTTCCACCTAAGTCTGCTGTGAGTAATAGTTTATATCCTTGACTGTAAGAATACCAGCTGTTTTGATTACCATTGAGAACTGTGAAATGTTTCAGCAAGTAAAGCTGCAGACAACACATCAAAATTTGCTATCATATTTACAGATGTTAGCAAAGAGATACATGGTGCTAATTTCATTCTTGTCTGTACTAAATTACATATAACTTTTTTAATATAAAATGTTTGGTTATCCTTTCAGGACATGTTTACATCAGACCCCTTCAGTTCTTTTGGGGCACCAGCTACAAATGGTAATTATATATCTGCATATTTTGTATTCACTTCTCTGGGTTTTGATGCAATATTTTGGCTGACTTTACATCAGCCTTCATTATTATACATATATTATATATATATAATATTTTCATCAAGTGATAACCATCAATGTTAATAGTACCTTCACAAAGGCCACATCTACCTTCTTCCAGTTCCATACCTGCATACCATTCATGAGAATTAAATTCATCATTCAGCGGGGGGATAATCAGGTAACTGGGTTTCAAATTGCTATGAGAAAATATGAACTGGAATGATTGGATGTAAATTGTAATTAAATTTACATTGAGAAGTAATGTAAAGCATGTCAATGGCAGTTGCTCTTGTTAATTGAACTGCCTTGCCTTATGCTTCTTAGTCTGAGAGATTGTCTTGATCTTCGCATTTTGTTTATTACAGCCAGCAGTGATCCTTTTGACCCTTTTGGAGATGTGGTGGCAGATCGATCAGCTTCAAAAACACCTGTAGATGTAAGTTACTTAAAGGATTAACTAGACATTTGCAAGGAATATGTTTAGTTATTGCCGTTATATCTCTCTTAATAGTAGTTAATTATTGTGTATATTGGTAATGGCCAGTTTTTGCAAATGACTGTCTCATTGTTGCTAGCAAAAATGCAACATACAGATATGTTTAATTTGAAGTTCAGAACCTCTATATTTTTGTACTTCTTTTGGACTTCATCCACCATCTGGTATGTAAAAGACAAAAGACCACGATGTTTCGGAGACTGGATCTGCCTCCGAAACGTCGTGGTCTTTTGTCTTTTACATACCAGACGATGGATGAAATCCAAAACAAGCCAAAAGAAGTACAGTATACACCATTGTCAGAATCCTTTCAAGTCTATCTCTATATTTTTGTAGCATAAGTGTCTTAATGATTCATGTTTATGTCAGTATTAAAACTCTTCCTGTTCTAGATGTCTGGGAAAGATCCGTTTGGGTGCGATCCATTTGCCACGCTTCAGCCTGCAAGTAGTGGCCCTCCACCTCGTCCTGAAAGTCCCAGTCCAGCATTACCTCCAAAAAAGAGCAAACAGCCACCCCCACGTCCAGCTCCTCCACGCCCCCTCCAGCAGCCAACAATGCGAGCAGCCCCACTTCCTCCCACACCTAGTCCTGATCCAACAGCTATGAGTGGAGGTAGTGCCAGTAGAGATCCATTCAGCAATCCAGGCACTCAGTCAGATCCATTTGCTGCTGACCCTTTTGGAGGAGGAGGTAACAGTGTAACTCCAACACCAGCTGCATCACAAAATGATCCATTTTCTAGTAGTTCAGGTGCATTTGCTGACTTTGCAGATTTTGATAGCAAGGTAAGTCTCCTTTCATGTACAGTAAAATTGAATTGTAATTAACCCATATTATTTTCCCTAAATGTATGTTATAAAAGCCACAATAGAAAAAATATGTTCTGTAGCAATATTTAATATATGCATTATCCAGTTTGTCTTATTGGTCAGAAATGTTGTCCTTCATGCAATTACTTTGTTCACTTGTTAAATGTTTTATTCAAAAATTTGAGTGGGAGTTTAATACCTTTTTTTTTTGCCAGGACTGAAAAAATGGTTTGAAAGAGGGAAGAACTGAATCTTAAGAAAATAATTCTTTGTCTCTGCTTCTGTGTTTGTGATTGTGCATGTTAATACTTGTATCTGCCTTAAAATCTTCCTATCTAGTAGATTACACCCTGCCCTCTAGGTTTATAATCCCATTGTATCTAGAGCCACCAGTCTCACACATTTCTCTTCCTTCCTTGTTACACTGGGCCTGAAGACTTCTGCTATTATCACAGTCTAGTCTTAAAGCTTTTTTCCCAAAGCTTGTCTTACTGAGTACTGCTAATGGCTGTCTACATTTTGCACACTTCAAGGGGTATGTAGTTGTGTCACGTAACCAGTAGATTGTGTATAAGGTTTTTAATTAGAGACATTTTAGGTATAGTGGCCAGGTGGCAGGTACTGACTGCACCTAACAACATTGCAGAAAATGTGTTAAAAAGATTGTCCCATTTTTTAGTGATATTAGCCAAGATCTGAGAAGGTCTCGTTTCTGGCACCTCTTTGTTTCTTTAATTCTGTCAGTCTCTTATCATATTTCATTACCTTATATACTGCTGGTTTAAGAAATATTTTATATAAATACATGTATATACCCCAGGACATGGTATTATTATTTATTCATGTAAATATTCTAAATGTTCTTGTTTTCTGAGCTTATGTAGTTAATTTTGTAAATATCTGAGTTCACATTCGTGTTCTGTTGGTGTGAATGCTACTGTTCTCTTGCCAGATTTGTTTGTAGATTATACAGTGAAACCTTGATTTTACACTTTCTAAGGGGCTGCCTAAAATAAATACAAAATTGAGGAAAGTGTAAAATCAGGAAAATGAGGATGATACAATACCCCGGTCAGTATATTTTGCTTGCGGACTACAGTCATGGAGTTTATTGTTTTGTACTTTTTCAATTTATCAACCTCCATTTGATTCACCCACTAATCTATGCAGTACATTTTATATGTAAGGATAAAAAAAAAGAAAGCTATCTCTCTTCCAGGCCGTGAAGGCCCATAGGGTTGTGAGATGTTAAGGGTCCCACATTATCTAGACAATCGGCTCAAAGATGGTGGTAACGTTGTCAGCCTTGCGCGCCGGCCACGCTTTACTCCCCAGGAAAATTATTTAATTAGTTCCTGGTACTCATTTCTGTTAGAGTCTCAGTGAACCCCAGGGCCATAGTGCGGCTGAAAGGATTAGGTCAATTGAAAAAAATCCAATCACCTCATCGGGACTTGAACCCACGACCTTCTGGCTTGTAGCATAGTCCTCAAAATGTAGTTTTTCTTTTATAGTAAATTGCTAGAAAACGTACATTCTTCTAGAAGTGTTGATGACCCTATTATTTTAGCTTTATCATGTTTTTACATAAAATGTTGCAGAGTAATATTTGTATTTATATGCTGTTTTAATGGTGGCTATATAAATTTTACTAATGTATACTAGATTGATACCTGTTCTAGTACCTTTTGTATCTTAATTCCTTTTATGAAACATTGTTGTGCATGGTGGTCCCCCCCCCCACGTTTATAGATGTTTCAATGTGTTCTTGCACCGAGTTTTGCTTTAGTTATATTTTGTTACCTTTATTATGTTTATTTTAGGTTCTACATGCTTAATTTGGCACGCCTGCCACATGCATGTTTGTCCAAGTTGCCTGCCTTCGCCTGATTCCAGCTGACGGTAACAAAGAGACAGTAATTACAGTTGAAGTTTCCTTTCTCTTTCAGAAGTTTGCAGCTGTGTAACCAGGCTTTCTGCCTTTGCTTTCTTCTTGTATATTTTTCAGCCTTAAAAACAATTCTGCTCCTCCCCTTCTTCAGTTTTCTGAAGCCGCAGATGATGTTTCAAGTCAGACAGTGCAGGCAACTGTGAAGGCATCAGCTACCACCAAAGTATCAACACAGCATCGCTATGCGGGCCTGGAATTCACAGAGGATCCTTTCCGAAATTATCGTTACGAGGACCCATTCAATATATCTGATCCATTCAGTGATGAAAAAGACGTTAAATCATCTCGGGCCACTGGTGCCAAACTTGACGCATTTGGACTTGAAACTGATTCTGGTTTAGGAAGTGAGTTTCCCACCCCAACATCTAAAATGAATGGAGGTGTTTCAACGGACCCATTTGCTGCTGGTGTTGGATTAAAAGTTCATACAGACATACCACCTGAGGACCAGCAGCTGGCGTGGGCAGCAGCTGAGAGCCTCCGACTGGAGGAGGAGCGTCGCCAGAGATTGGAGCAGGAGCAGGCTGATTTCGAGTATGCCCTGGCACTCAGTAGGGAAGAAAAGAAGTCAAAGAAAGAATTGTGAGATAACATACACAATAAATGTAAGAAGGATGGGATGGCCAAGAACTTGACACATGTAGGCAATTGTTATTCTGCATAAGTGATCCATCTGAGTTTATGTTATGTGTTAGTTTCAAATTAACAAATGAAATAAATTATTTGCTGATTTATGTTGAGTGCCATGAAGTTTTGGGTTATGTCAAAGCAAAAGTTGGGGACTGATCATGTTGTATACAGTACATCGTTTTGTGACATCTCCTCCAGAAGACCATAAAATCTGAGGACCTGGGTTTAGAATCTTATTAAATACTTTTTTATAAGATTGTGTTTATTTAATTAGACATGTAAATTGTGATGTAACGTTAGCATGTTTTGTATATCAGAGTCTTGTGGGAAGTGAACTGTAAAGCTTTCCAGTAGAATTATATAGCTCTCGAGGCCTACGTTTGTTAATTGTTCCCACTCACTGTCCTTGAAGTTAAGTGGTGACATTAACAATATGGTAGGGCAGAAGAATACAGTATTCAGTAATAAAGAGAAGATACTAAAGTTAATAATAGTTGCACTGCAAATGATTGCCACAGACACAGCAACAAAATGTTTATACATATTTATGTGTTTTTGTATGTCAAGAATGTACATTTTTCTTCGTTCAGTTTCATGTATATACGGACATTGGGCGGTAGTAATATGGACATCATAGAGATTATTACATGTCAGTAATTAGTATAAGTTAGAAAAACGTATACTGAATTAGGGAATGTTTGTGTCTGCAAAGTTTGAAATTCATCCTGAAATACAATGCATGTGGTAAGACACTGATGATGAAGTGGTTCCTCTTCTCCAAGAACTTACGTGCACTTTCTAAAGACCTCCATTGACGTAAATCAAACCGAAGAGAATACTTGATGTTATATGCAGTAACGGTTACATCAAGAGAAATCATTAGGCACAGTTATAATTTTTTGACTAGTCAGCAGTTTTCATTATGTTCTTACTGTAATTGGAATTAAATTGCAGAACTAAGATATCCAGTCTTTCCTGGTACTTAAAATGTTTCTGTTGTAATTTTTTTCCCTTTGCCCAGACAGAGTTGCAAGACAGTTACATGTCATTTTCATGTACATGCTTTGCCAGATATATCCTGTTGCAAATCTGGAAAATGTTTCAGCTGTTCTGTAGAATTTTTCGTGAATCATATTGAGATTTGGGAGAATACACTTCTGGGAGTCTGTCTTCCTTCTCCTCTGTTCTCTGTTATACCTTCTTGTAACTGAATTTAACAAGGTGTTTTGGTAACTGAAATGAAAATTATGTGACTTTTTTGTTGACAGGGGGATGATCTATTGCTATTGCTAATAAATCAACTCTGCTTCAGTTTACAGTGAGCGATAATGCTGTGAACGGTTGCTTTTTGCTAATAAAGAAACTCCAATTTACAGTGAGCACTAACACATTGAAACTTACTTATATACCTGCAGGATGTAAGGTTCTCACTGCAGTGGTTATGAAGAGTTTTGTCTTTTTGGATATAGTGTCATGTGGTTCATTGAAAGCCAGCTGACATTTCGGCAAAGCATGTCACAGAGCTTGCTTGCTACCTGCTTCATGCTCGTTTCTTGTTTGGATTCTTTGACCCTGAAGATGGAGGGAACATGTTCCTCTGAAACATTGGTTGACTTTCAGCAGATTACAGTGTTATATCCCAGAAGAGAGAACTCTTTGCACTCTTATGTTTCTGTTCGCATAATTAGAAAACTTCATTAATGGTAGGAAATGTAATTGTAACTTCTCAGTCATGAGATTTCAAAATACACCATGCACTTGTACATTTTTTACTTACGCAGGTCTTAAGTATGTGGTTCAGACATAGGAGTAATGTTTTAATTTTCTGGAAATAAGTTTTATAATATCTTAAATTTACTTCCTGGGCTGCTTTTTCTCAAACATTTCATAATTGTGGGCCAATGAAAGGCTTGAGCTTTTGCAATGGAACATTGACTTGTATCTGCAGGTATAATATGAACATTGCTTAAGCAACTGAATATACATATAAGCTATTATAAATTCTGTCTGTTTTGATATTGGTGTACTGTATTTCCTTACATGCTTTTTATGAGATTTTTAGTTTTTAAATAATAATGATACATGGTGGAAACCCAGTGACCATGCGGTTTTGTGTATGTTTTTGTTATAATAATGAACAAATTCTATACTTCCCCTGCCCCTTTTTATTCAGTGAAGTTCATATCATTAATTTGTTTTCAATTGTAATAATATTACATAGGGTCTCACTCCCTGACTCTCTTATCTGCAGAGTGAGGACTCGTGGACTGGCTAGTTAGTTAAGGCATAATCTGAGAAACATCTTATTTGACCACTCAGATGCAGATTACAAGACATGATGGAACATTCAAAGCAAAATTTTTGTTACTTAAGGTAAAGTTTGTTTTCTGGCCTA